GCTCATGGAAAAGAAATCATACAATCATATCAGTTAATGTGGAAAAAACATGTATGTAAAATGGCACAGCCACTCTGAAAAACAGTCTGACAGTTTCTTTAAAAAATAAACATGCAATTAACATATACCCAGCATCTGTACTACTACTGGGCATTATCCCTGAGAAATAAAGACTTATAGCCACCAAAGTCCCTTCACAAATGTTTATAGTAGCTTTATTCATAATATTCAAAAATTGGAAAGAACCCAGACATCCTTCAGTGGGTGAACAGTTAAATTGTGGTACATCCATACTATGGAAAACTGCTCAGCAAAAAAAGGAACAAACTATCATTTCATACAAGAACCTGAATGATTCTCCAGAGAATAATGCTGAGTGAAAAAGGCCAATACCAAAAAATTACATATCATATGATTCCATTTCTATGACATTTTGAAATGATGATTATGGAAATGGACCATCTATTAGCAGTTGTCAGGGGTTCAGAAGGGGTGGGAAGTGGACACAGCTAGAAAATGACAGTAAGAGGGATCCTTGTGATGATGGAAATGCTTTTTATCTTGACTGTATGGATGTTAATATCCTGATCATGATATTCTATAGTTTTACAAGATTCTACCATTGGGACACTCAGTAAAGGAATACATAGGATCTTTTTGTATTTCTTACAACTGCACATGAATCTACAATTACCTCAAAATAAAAAGTTTAATTTAAAAAATTAAACCAATACATTGGCAGAGCTGAGATCCAAACCAAAGTCATCTTTCTCCTGGTTCAGGACTCTTCATTGAAGCATAATAAATGCTTGTTCAGTTAAATGAAATATATAGATCGCCTCTTTTTTTTCCAACCTGCAAAGAACTTTCTTGTTACACTGGTCCAAGTCACCACTGGGTGAAGAGAAGAGAAAGGGTAGGAGAGCACACGTCTAGCATTGGCAGCAACTGTGGGTTTTGTTCTACAATGAATGGAAGAGGTAAAATAAAGGGAACTAGGCCCACTCTGACATTTCCCAAACTTGAATCGCCCCCTGACATTCCAGTCTTCCAATCTGTCTTTTGCACTTCTGTCTTTCACTAAAGATGAGTAGAAATTCATCACCATATCCTAGATAAACATCCGGGTTTCTATGGTTTGGAAGAACAAAAGTTCTCAGTGGTATCATATTCCAGCCACCAGTGCAGAGGACCATGAAGATTCATACTACAGAATTGGCTGTTTATGAAGACAGCACCTAAGTCATCACAAAATTAACCGAAGGTTATGTTAGCAATCAGTACTAAAACTTGCTTTTTTTAGATAGTTCCAAAAAATCTGAGGAAAGAATTAAACACTAATATACTAAAACGTCTATATCTTCTACATAAAATAAC